TCTAGCCGTTAACTATCAAATCAGCCACCATTTTGACTTTCTCTCTCACAGGTGGGGCCCACAGGTAGACTATAACGACTATAATTTTGATTAAAATCCCACAAAAATTGCTCCCAAACACGCTCTATATTTTTTTAGCTAAACCAAATAAGCATTAATTATTGTTGCATGAACTATGTTGTTTTAGTTACATAGCTACCAACCTTGTCTTTATCGACTTTTTGTTCCTTGCCCTTTGATAGTGTAGAAGATGGTTTCATCGTGAAAATGATTTCATACTTAAACTTATCTTTTGATTTGGCGTAAGTCATTTCTTATGGGATTCTTTATCGTGTGGTATAGTCGACTCCTGTTGAATATCGATGCTTTTACCAAATTCAATCTTATAAATATTATACAAATATAAACACATTCAAAAGTAACAAGACATTATACCAAGGAAAAAACTGCAGACAACAATAAAATCAAACTAAAAAAGAAGACCAAAAAATTTAATAATACTAAGTTAGCTCTAGCATTACTACAACTTTGAAGTACCACTCTACTTCAATAATCAGTAGCACATATTTTTAAATCTTAATGCTAAAATCTTCATAAGCTACTCGAAAATATAAACTTCATTTATTTAATCAAGTTTATCATTTATTTAGTCAAGTTCGTTCATGTCTTTTAGGATTATTCATACATACATTATTGCACTAGTTTATTTATTTACGTGGGAAATACATGAATTATTTTGGGATTAATTTGCATAATAACTAGTACATTTATTGGATTAAATTCACGTTTTGTGAAACCTATAAAATGTTAGTGATTGTACTCATTTTCTTAAGTCATGTTGAAGTTTTAAGAAATAAAGTTGAATGTTCTCTTAATATTATCTATCCATTTCCAAAAACTGTTGTTTCTGTTGGAATTATTGTATGGTGAAATGATTATTTGTTTAAATGACAAACTAATAGTTAAGTTTAATTTGTAGAAGCGTAATTCAACTCTATGTAAATAGAAGCGAAAGAAAGAAAGAAATGAAGAAAAAGTAAATGAAGAGAAACCCGAGGCAAGTGATTAATACTTTTTCCTTAAGACAAAATTGTCCCACAATGGTGCAAACGGATTACGGCACTTGTCTTCCATTATTTAACTGATATATCTTGTGGTAGAAGCGCTTCAAACCACAAGTAACAACGAACTCGAACATTTTTTCATATCTCTACAAGAAAATAAATTCTCGAATGATCCCTCACATGAATGAAAATTCAAATATGTTCATGCTATAGGAAAATATAATGCATCAGAGAGAAAGCAGAAAAATACTGTATCAGGTAAGATAGCTTATGACCTTGAATCTTTCTTAGTGAAATACTATCAAATTTACTTAGCTAATTGGTGAACGCAATGTTTTAAATGATTCAGCATTTGGTATAAACCTAGACAATGAAAGCCCAAGATTGTCTAACCAAGAGAGGTGAATTGGTAATTAAATCTTTTTCGTTGATTACTCAAGATTTTAATCTAATAAAAACACAAATGATAGAGAAATAAAACAAACACAAGTAAGCACGTAAATGAAAAAAATATGAACTTGCACAAAGTAAAAACGTTAAGTAAAAAGGGTTAGAAAGTGCAAATGATATAATATGGAGGTTCGATCCAACGCAATGATCTACATCACCCGTTACCAAGCTATCCGGCACGAGCAATGACTTTTTCACTATGTTGATTGACTCATGGTGCAATCCACACCTTTACAAAGCTTCCGGTGACTTACAATCAAGGAGTATCGATCCTTTTACAATGTTGAGCTTTCCGAGACCTCAACACGACCCACAATCCAAAATGAATTTATAAGAGAAATCTTATCTTCTTATCTAATAATAGATCCAAAGATGAATACAAGAAGAGAAGAGGCAAACACTTCAATATATGACAAATAATATAGCTTAAAGTGTTTAGGCTAAAGAGCTTTTTGTTGAAGTAAGTATTTTCACAAAGTTTTAATCGTTTCAAAAAGCTTTCCAAGAATTTAATGCTTTTGATCTTCTAAGGATAGAAAATAAGGTTGTTGGGATCAATAAAAGCCTCATTTTAATGCTCAAGAAAAGTTTTTACAAATGAAGAGTGAGTGAAGTATTTATAGCACTCAAATCGGATAAGGCATTCCGACATCCGGATCGTGTAAACAACTAGCCTTTTGAAAATGTCAGAACGGTAAAAAAAGTGACCGCTGGAGGTCATCCAGACGTCCGGATGGGCATTTTGCCCCTAGACTTTGATGCAATTTTTTGAAGTATTTTCTCACGTATTATTTTCAAGATAAGTGACTCGGTAAAGATTTTATACAATCATTTGATTTTGAAAATAATTTTTCTTATGCATAAAAATTTCCTTTGAGCTCTTAGTGATCATTTGCTAAGTATTGAAACATTTTACCTTTACATGAATGTGAAA